CCTCCTCCTCCTCCTCCTCCTTTTGGTAAATAAATAATTGTAGAAGTAAGTACTAACAGAGTAGAAACTGTATTTCTGATTATGCTGTCTCAAAATATTTATTAAGTAATGTTATGTTGCTTAACCCCTCTTGATTATAGTTACACTTTTCTTGGAATTTTGGAAGCGACGACAAGCCCGACTTGAATATGAGTGGGATTTAGTTGATTTTGAGGAAGAACAGCAACAACTCCAACTTAGACCAGAGTATGAAGCAAAATGTACACAAAAGAGGAAGAATCCAGTAACTCAGGTAATTTTGTTATGCTTACTTAGAAGACAAAAATCATTCAGAGGTTGTGGAATTAATAAGATTTAAGTAGCTTTTTTTGGAAAACCCTTAGTGAGCTTGCTCTCAGCACCTACTATGCTAGTTCAGTTTAATATGCCAGCTACTGTAGGAATATGAATTTATGCCAAAATATAGATGTGTATTGATTTAAGAAGTTTTATAATTATATAATTGATAAAGTGCAAGATGCATTTTTAATATCAGTGCTTAGATTAATATCTGGGAACTCTAGTAACAGGGGCACCCTGGATTTATCAGGCTTTCCTCAAAGGTGATCATTTATTAGGGATACTTAACTAATTTGCTGTTATCTTGAAACTGGTTCAGCTATTCAGAAAGGAATATGCAGATATAGTTATTATTTTGATGCTACTTTACTGCTATAAAGTAGGACCTAAATACAGAGAGATATAATATTAGGAAGAAAGTTCCTATTTAATTTTCTCCCTAACATGCTAGTTTTCTAAATCTAGAGAAATTCTGCTATAGGGTATCATTGAAGCTAACCAAATTGTGATATTCAGAACACTGCTTTTTCCACTTTTGTGGGATAGGTATTGGTGATGTAGTCCAAGAATGTGGGTATATTTTTCCAGCTAAGAAGCAGAGTATTATCATTGTTAAGTGGATGCAGTTGACTTGTGGGAGTGCGATTCAGATTGAAATAAATGCATAATTACATTAGCTATCCAATTCTGTTTCTCAGTTAACATGTGAATCAGAAGAGCCATGCAGATAATGGATTGAATGGGAGTCACAGAATCTTAGAATCATAGAACTGGAAAAGTTCAGTCTTCTGCTCAGGGCCAGATCTACTGCATCTCTTGCAGATGAACATCAAGCTTCTGTCTGAACACCTCCAATAAGGAGAAACTCATCATTTCCTGACAGCTTGTTCCACAATTAGGAAGTTCTTCCTGACATCCAGTCTGAACCTCCTTTCTTATAATATTAACCTGTTGGTTCTGGTTCTGCCCTCAGGGGCCATAGAGAATTCCACTCCGTTTCTGTGAGACAGCCCTTTTAAAACTGTTTTTCATAGGTTTTGGTTTCCAGGATCCTTGCCATCTTGGAAGCCCTGCCCTGAACTCTCTCCAGCTCATCAGTGTCCTTGTTGAAGTGTGGTGTCCGGAACTGGACATAGTATTCCAAGGGAGGTACAACCAGGGCAGAGTAGAGTGGAACAATAACTTCCCACTCCAAGATAGCGCCCACCCGAAGATAGCATTTGCCATTTTTAGCAGCTGCATAACATTGCTGGCTCATGTTTAACTAGGTGCGGGCAAAAATATAGATCCTTTTCACATGAACTACTGCCAGATTAATTCTCCCCCATCCTATTTTTGTGCCTTTTCATTTTTCCTGTCCAGTCACAATTCCACTATCACTTTTCCACTATTCACCCATTGGTATACAAAGTTTTGGTTTTCTTTTTGTCTTTATGTTCATATTTGGGATCTGGATACTTGATCTATATGAGAGAATGTAACAAGGCCATACACAATTGGCCTTGTCATCCACCCTTTGGAATGTTTTCCTCCCAGAAATAAAACATGTGAAGAGATTGCAAAGATAGGCAAGAGTTTCTGCATATCTTTCAAGCCAAGATATGATTATCTGAACCAGTCCAAAATCCCATTAAAATCAGTTGATATTCCGTAGAACCTTTTTCATTCTTTAATTATTCCTTTTTCAACTTTCTGGTCTGATATTTTAGGAGTTAGAATTGTTTAAGAGGAAGAGCATTCATGACTATGGAAAACTGAGCTTGTTGTACTTTGGAATATTGTTTTGGGTAAGAGAGGGCTGCGCAATCGCTGCAGCTTAGAGTGGCAAAACTAATAAAATGAGCCATTTCTTCAAGTGGGGAAAAAGAAGCATAAGAACATTGAGGATTGCGATGAATGGGAATACCTAGCCCAATTCAGTATATCTGTTTTTCCTGAACAATTAATACTGATAACTGAAAAGAAATCTGCTTTCAACTTTCAAGTAGGACCATTTTGTTCATAAAATCATTGTAAAGGAGGAAGAAAAAAAAAAAAAGATAATTGGATTACCTGGTAAATGGGCAACATCTCATTCAGTCTTCCATTCCTGTTTTTCTCCCATAAGAGGAAATGTGCCATATTGTGCATTCGTGGGGAGGGGATACAGGATTTGCTTTTTCCTAATGTTTGACATTGCTTTCTGCAGTGGTCTGTGTACAACTATGACTGTGGGTGGTGAAAAGTGCTGTGCTTGCTTGACTGTTTCAGGAGCTGGAACCTTATTTACCGCTAACTAGCCAGGCTATACGGTTCTGCATCTCAGGAACTACAGTGTTGTTCTGGGTGAGCTCTTTTTGATTCATCAGCCTAACAAGACACTGATCACTTTTTAAGCTTGAATTTTAACATGCATGAATCGCGCTCTTTGCTTTGGATCTCTTTCACCGATGCTTCTTGCTTCAAGGATTTCAAACTAATGTTTTCCAGTTTTATTTTCCTGCTGTCAATGAACACAGAGTATACAGCCTAAGTACCTTTTTCCCTTTTAAATAATAACTTCATATTTTGTATTATTGATGACAATCCCTTCAGGATTTACCTGATACCTGTGTTGTAAATAGCAATCTACATGTGGCTACTACATCTACATAATGTTTTTCCAACTCTTGTTGGTGGGTTATGTGATAGAATTGCACTGGTATGCTTTACATGAATGTGCATGGCACATTTAAAATTAGTGTAAAAGTTTTAAAAAAACTAATGTTACAGCTCCATTGGGACTATAGCGCCTTAGCAAAAAGATGTAAACTGCATGTTTGATACTTCTCTGTATAGAAAGGAGAAGATAACAGAAAGAACTAATTTTTTTTACTTAAAAAATAAAAGTAAAAACAAGTGATCTACTTCCATTGAGGAAGCAGGCATGTGCACTGGAGAAGTATTGAGATACTTCTTCTGCTTATATTCTGCAGTCTTTATAGGAACAGTCTGTACGTTTATTCACAATGTGCAGTTTGCATGAGAAACTGATTTCTCTGGTTTCAAATCCTGAGTAGTCTAATTTATGTGGTTATCTCAGATATCTTTAATCATAGCAAGCATGATAGCTGTGATAGTTTACCGCCTTGCAGTCTATGCTGCTTTTGCCAGCATCATGGAGACCACAGAAACCCTGCAACCTATTCGAGGTTTGTTGACACCACAACTAGCAACATCAGTCACTGCATCATTCCTCAATTTTGTCATCATTATGATACTGAATTTCCTATATGAGAGGATAGCCATCTGGATCACAGATATGGGTAGGTATGTTGCATGATGGCTGAGCTTGAACAAATATGTTTCTGCCCCTCTGCTGTATAGGCTGAATTCATCAGTACATGAAAACAGCACATGCATAACCTTCTCTGTCAGCCTAAAATTCTTGGGAAAAGGTTTTGGGTTCTTGTTTTATGTCAGGTATCCCCAACCTTGGATCCTACGGCTCTATTAGCCTTATCTTATCTGGAGAATGCCAGGTTGAGGAAGGCTAGTTTATCCCCTATGGCTTTGCTGTTAGACTATCTGACTTACTTTCCAGCTGTGTGATTTGTAAATCCTAGCTTGTACTTTCCTTAAAGCTGTCGGGTCAACAGTGTTAATAATAATTTTATTTGACTGCAAGTGGAGCACTCAGGAGTTAACTTGGGCAAAATTGCTTCTGTTTTCTCATGATTTGTCCTTTGGCAAAAGGCAAGGAGGTTCATTCATGAGATTGCTCTCAAATATTATTTTGCTTGTGTAAATGAGATATTTATTTATATTTATATTGTGTATGAAAGAAAAATCTTATAACAAATATTCACTTCTACAAATCCATTTTATGCTAGTTAAGTCACTTAGGAGTGACAGTGACTTTGTGTCCCTGTTCTGTACATGTTGCCTTCTGTGGGCAAAATGTAATTCATAGCTCTGCAACTGCTCTCCCAGAGAAGTAAGTTTGTAGTATTGAAGTATATTGTCTGCCTTTCCCAAGGCTTCATAAACTTTAATGCTGTACATGATACAAAGAGAATTAAATCCTTCTTTATTTTATCTTGCAGAAATACCAAGAACCCATTTTGAATATGAAAACAGACTCACTATGAAGATGTTCCTCTTTCAGTTTGTCAACTACTATTCTTCATGCTTCTATGTAGCCTTTTTCAAAGGAAAATTTGTGGGATATCCTGGTTCTTATACATACATGTTCAGTCGCTGGAGAAATGAAGAGGTGTGTAGTAACTTTTAAAATGAATTTGGGGAAAAAACTGCCAATCATTCTGAATGTCTTGCTTTGAAGTCTAGAAAACTAAACATTATGGGGAAAAAAACACTTTCTGAACAGGGAAAGTTCACAGATTTATAAGATACTTACATCATTACTAAAAATGAAAAATATAAGCTGTTGAAAATATTTTTACAGTTGTACCTTCAGAGGGGAAGCCTAACAGACGTTGTGTTATTATTTTTTTAAACTAAATTCAACATGATCCAGACATTTTTAAAGGCAACACCTGTGAGGCTGAGAAAATGTTGGGAACAAGTTTCTTTCCCAACTGCATTCATGAGGACAAGAACAGAAGCTCTGAAGACTTGCATGGGAAAGAAAACTTAAAGATAGAATAGGCAAAGTACAAAGGCAGAAATGGAAAATTATCCATAGATTTCTAACAGACAACCAAATATAACGTGTCTTTGTGTGTGTGTGCATGGGTTATTGGTGCAATATTCAGATACCCCTTGACCTGGCTCCATCACATTTACATGTTCTGATTCTTCAAAAGAAGAGCTGCCAAAAGATTTGTCTTGTCTTTTGATGATTGTAGACAATTAACTAGTGATGAGGTTGAGGCCCATTCTGAATCCAGTAGCAAGTAGCATTTCCTTGACATCAGTTGTGAAGTCTCTGTTGCCGAGTCATTTGATAGCTAAACCCTGGGGAATGTTGTTGTTCTTGTTGTTGTTGAGGGAAGTAGGCCTTATAAGAAAGGCAAGCTGCCTACTTCCTATTGGTTTTTGAAATAATTTCTGTCTTGTGTATGTCCCCATCACTACATAGGCATACCAAATTGCATTTTGTTTTATTTTTCAATCAGTGTGATCCTGCAGGATGCTTGATAGAACTGACAACCCAGCTCACCATTATCATGGCTGGCAAACAGATCTGGGGTAACATTCAAGAGGCTATAGTCCCGTAAGTGATGCCTTAATACTGAGTTATTTGCATGTTTAAAAAATAGTCAGAGGTAATTAAATATTTGGTGAATTCTGCCATCTCTTTTAGCAAGTTTAAGGAATCCGTATCAACATAATCTTTACAGGTGTCTTCATACTATTGTATTATCAGGCTTTCAGATCACAAGCCTACTGGTGTGCAACAGCCTCTTTTTCAGACATTGCCCCAAATTATTGAGTAATAGAAGAATGAAGCTGGCATGGGCTTGAGGGCAGGAAATGGATCAGCTGACACCGCTAGGCTGTTCAGTTCTACATAGACATAATCATGGGAGTTAGAATGTAACTTTTTCCAACCATGAAAGATGGATAGTCATTTTTATAGCAAATGTACAGTGGTACCTCGGGTCACGAATGCTTCTGTTCACAACCAATTCGGGTCACGAACAGCACCGTTCTCAAAATTTTGCTTCCGTTCGCGAACGCCGGATCAGGTGACGAACAGGATCCGCAGCCATTTTCGCTGCCGTGACACGTGGTCATGGCTTCCTGTAGGGAGGGGGACTCTCCCTCCAAGCAATAACCGCCTCCCCACCTGCCTTCCTGTCCTCCACGCCAGAAGTAGTGTCGAGCAAGGTTAGCGTTCTCTCTCTTCGTACTGTACTTTG